TTACAATTTTATGATTTTTTAAATTTATTTTATTTTATTAATTACTTTCCATATAATTACTACATACATAACATGTAATACATATTATATTATATAATTAACATATTATATGATTTCTTATAATAATACAACTTCATTGTAAAATGGAAAGTATTGTTTAATGAAGTTGTTCTTTTTAATGAGAAAATTGTAAGAAAAAAAATCATAAATAATTTTGTAGTTCATTTTTTGGCGTCAACACTCGTTCTCGATTAAAATATTGATTTTTTGATCTTTTTTCAGAGTTTGATCTCAATTTCCTTTTAATGAACATAGGTTTTAGTAAAAATTCTCCCAAAGTCATCTTAAAAAAAAAAATTATATATTAATAATATAGCAAAATAAAAATTTATATAAATTTATATAATTATAATTTATATAATTTAAATTAAAATTTAAAATATAATTTAAATTAAATAAAATTTATATAATTATATAAATTTTTGAAATATATTTAAAATAATTTACTGTTGTATTAATAAGATCTAGTCTTTTAGCTTCTTTTATTAACTCAAATAATTGAGTGGATTCTTCTACATTTTCAGTTTTCAATTTTTCTTCTAATTCATATATCTATAATATAAGAATAAAAAATAATTTTATTATATATTATATATCATCATAAAAAATAAATTATATTAAAATTTAAAATTGAATTAAATAATATCATCTATGAATTATAAATATTGACATTATGCTAAATTTTTAATAATTTTTTTTAACAAAATATAATCTTACCACATCTGCAAAAATTAAATATTTTTGCTGAATATTATTTTCTATTATTTGTTTTAAAATAGGAATTATTTGTAAATATCTTTGCAGATTCATATATGCCAATATTTTGAGACTTCTTACACTCGTAATTTTCTCTCTTTGAATTGAACTTAATAAATCTAATGCTAATTCAGATGCATTATTTTTTATTGCTAAATATGATATTAATGCATAACTTCTTCTTGAAGGTTTTATTATATCAAATTGTTTCTTCCAATGATCTAAAGCATATTCCAATGCCTTTGGAGTATTCTAAATAAAATATTTGTTTTTTTTTTTAAGTTTTGTTTTTAAATGTTAATCATTGTATAGAAAATTACTAATTAAAAATTATTGTTACCTCTTTTAGACATGCAGCAAATATTAAAACATTATTATTGCCAATGAACTCTATACCTTTAGTATTTAATACTTTGTCATATATCTCTTTCATATCTTCGAACATATTATTTTTATATAACAAACACATTAAGATACGAAAAGATGAACGATAATTAAAATTATTATTTAAAATATCATTCTCAAATGCTTGTAAAGCATATTGTGGTTGATTCAGATGATAATACATTCTCATTACTACTGGTCCAAACACATATGAACCAATCTTATTTACTTCATGTTTCTGACAATATTTTTTTAACATATCATTTAATAAAGTCATATCTTGTTCGTTAGGTTGTGCTAAATGAATCATTGCTTTTAAATCTTCTGTAAATATTACTCCATCATCTTTTTCACAAATTTCCTTCATTCTCTCACGAAAAGTATTTTCTATTGTCATAAATTGATTATGAAATACGAATCTCGAATTTTCATACGTAGTTATACCTAAATCTTGTTCTGTGTATAGACATCGGACCCCAACTAAAAAATAAAAAAATATTAATAAAAAATATAATCTTTAAAATTTTTACAAAATTAATATTTAGAATCATTTTTTATCTATATATTTCTATTATTTATGCTGTAATATTGAAATTTATTATACTGATTTAATCCCATTTAATTTAAAGTTAGGTTAAATATATACCTTTTAAAAAATTAGATTTGAAAAACATATTTTTTGTTTGCAAAATATTCAGTTTAAAAAGTCCTCTTATATTAATTGCCATGATGAATGAATAAATATTTATTTTGTATAATATATTTTTAAATAAAAAAAATACAATTTCTTTTACTACGTATTTCCCACGATTGTAAAAGAACTATAGCGGAAATGATAACCACATGGTTTCCAATTATACAAATATAATCAAATGTACAATTAAAATATATTTTATTTTTCTTTTATAGATATTACATGATTTTTATCACTTTTTAAAATTATTTTATTTTTTTACGATATTTTATTTTTTACATTAAAATTAAATAATAAATAATAATTAAATATATAATTAGTTATATATAATATAGTTAGTTAAAAAGAATTATGCTATTTGGATTATAATTTATTTTTAATTACATAATATTTTTAAAATATAATATGTATTATTTTTTAAATTATAAAATAATTTTATTCGAAATGATTTCAAATTTGTTTTATTTATTAATTGATTTTCTTATATATTATATAATGTTCTAAGATTAAAATACCGTTTTCATAAAAGTATTTATAATTTTTATTTAATAAAG